GGTACTAATGGAAGGGTACTAATGGAGGGTATAATGGAGGGTACTAATGGAGGGTACTAATGGAGGGTACTAATGGAAGGTATCAATGGAGGGTACTAATGGAGGGTACTAATGGAGGGTATAATGGAGGGTATAATGGAGGGTATTAATGAAGGGTATTAATGGAGGGTACTAATGGAAGGTACTAATGGAGGGTATTAATGGAAGGTAGTAATGGAGGGTATTAATGGAGGGTACTAATGGAGGGTATTAGTGGGGGGTATTAGTGGAGGGTATTAATGGAGGGTATTGATGGAGGGTATAATTGGGGGTACTTATGAAGGGTACTAATGGAGGGTACTGATGGAGGGTACTGATGGAGGGTATTAATGGAGGGTACTAATGCAGGGTACTGTTGGAGGGTATTGATGGAGGGTAGTGATGGAGAATACTAATGGAGGGTACTGATGGAGGGTACTGATGGAAGGGTACTAATGGAAGGTACCAATGGAGGGTACTAATGAAGGATACTAATGGAGGTTACTAATGGAGGGTACTAATGGAGGGTACTAATGGAAGGTATTAATGGAGGGTATTAATGGAGGGTACTAATGGAGGGTACTAATGGAGGGTATAATGGAATGGTAATGGAGGGTATTAATGGAGGGTACTAATGGAGGGTATTAATGGAGGGTACTAATGGAGGGTACTAATGGAAGGTACTAATGGAGGGTATTAATGGAAGGTGGTAATGGAATGGAGGTACTAATGGAGGGTACTAATGGAAGGTACTAATGGAAGGTATTAATGGAAGGAAGTAATGGAGGGTATTAATGGAGGGTAAGGTAGTACTAATGGAGGGTATTAATGGAGGGTACTAATGGAGGGTATTAATGGAAGGTATTAATGGAGTTGGTAAATGGAGGACTAATGGTACTAATGGAGGACTAATGGGTACTAATGGAAGGTACTAATGGAAGGTATTAATGGAAGGAAGTAATGGAGGGTATTAATGGAGGGTACTAATGGAGGGTATTAATGGAGGGTACTAATGGAGGGTACTAATGGAGGGTACTAATGGAGGGTATTAATGTTTTACTGAACAAATATGCTGCACATACAATTGTAGGGAAAGCAGTTCATGGCATACAAAGTCTCAGAAGCGTGCCTACCATATACATGTGCTCAGGCCATTTATCCTTCCCATGAGTATGTGTGCAAGAGGGATAGCTACATAACCCCTCACCCTCCAGAGGATTCCCCCCCCCCCCCCTTCCTGACCAGGCCATTTTTTGTGTTACGGCGCTGCACCCAAATGAAATTTACATCCTTTTTTTACCACGAATACAGCTTTCTCTCAGTGATACTCGATCGCCTGTGCGTCTTCTTTTTTTTTTTTTGCGCTATAAGCAAAAAAAGACCGACAATTTTGAGAAAAAAAACTATATTTTGGACTTTTTGCTATTAAACATGTCCAGTAAAAAAATGTAAAAAAATCTAATTTAGTCATAAATTTAGGCCAAAATGTATTCTGCTCCAATTCTTTGCTAAAAATAATCCTGATACGTGTAAATTAATTGGTTTACGAGAAAGTTATAGCGATTACAAATGGCGGTATAGATAATGGGATTTTTTTTTTCCTACTAGTAATGGCGGCTATCAGTGACTTTTAGCGGGACTGCGGCAGACATTCTGACACTGGGGAGGAACTGACTTGGCGTCACTGACACCCCAGTGACACCAATACAGTGATCAGTGTTAAAACAAAGCACTGACACTGTACTAATGGCACTGGGCAGGAAGGGGTTAATGTGTGCTGGGAGTGCTTTACTAGAGGGTGGGGGATGTGTGCTTCACTGTAAGCACACTGATCAGGATGGCTGTATTGTGCACAGCCATCCGGACCAGTGTGATCGAGCTGACAGGGAGGAAGATTGTTTGTAAACAAAACAATCATCCTCCCTGTCAATGATCATTGGTAATCATTGGATGCCGGCGGTAATTACCGGGCGGGACCCGGTGATTGACATCCGCAGCCGTGAATGGCAGCGCGGATAGGGCAGACACGCAGCTCGCGTGCACACCCCCTACCCAGAAATGCAAAATGACATATATATATGTGATTCTGCACACAGGTGCCGCCCTGTGGCAGTATATCTGCTATAGGGCGGTCCTTAAGTGGTTAAACAAAAAGTTACTAAAAGTTACTTGGGTTGTAGATTTTGTCTCTTCCCCAGGTAACCTTTCTTTATGATGGAGTCATCTTCCAGGATCTCTTCCAAACTGCTTCTTGGAATCCTGCAAAACTACTTCTTCCTTTGATTCCAGCATGGCTGTGTTTCCATCCTTTTTTTCCCCTTTCCTCCACTTCCTGCCAACATCACGTCCTGTTGCCTGTGCTTCATGAACCAGTCCAACAAGTTCATTAGCATGTGAATAAAGGAAACCTAGCTTCTAAAAACAATAAATGGTCTTAAAATGTTATTCCATATATTTATGCTATACAATAATCGCTAAAATAGGCAGAGCAACACACCCGCTGAGGTCCCTCCTACTGAATAAAAACATCATTGTTCCCAATGGTTCTCTAGCCGGTCCGCCGACATTTAATGAGGGAAAGGAAATGCTGTAGGGGCCACCTCCAAATTGATGGTGAGGATTGCAGCTAAAGCGACTTTTTTTGCATTTTCTGTACACAGGTCTGTTTCTTTTATTATAACTGGTGGGCCAAAAGTAGGTGTTGTATACATTACTGAGCCTATCTTGCTTTCAACAAGATGGCGCCCCATCACATTTTGATTTGATGTGAGTTAGATGGATTGGGCTACACAGTAGCAACAACTGGCCACCACGGTCATCACCCCCCTCCCCCCCAGCCCCTTCTCGATCCAGCAATATGCACAAGAGCAGCATCTCTCTCTCTCTCTCTTCATTGGCTCAGAGACAGCAGCAGGAGGCCATTGGCTCCTGTTGCTGTCAATCACAGCCAGTGAGGAGGGGCTGAGCCACTCTGTGTGTCAATGGACACACACAGCCCAGCTTGGGGGCAAACCTGCACAAGTGCCCCCATAGCAAGCTGCTTGTTATGGGGGCACCCCGTGGAGGGAGTAGTAGCCAGGAGCATCGATAGGGGACCCCAGAAGAGGATTGAGGTTGCTCGGTGCAAAACTATTGTATAGAGCAGGTAAGTATGACATGTTTGTTTGTTTGTTTGTTTGTTTTAATAACAATCTTAAAGTGTTACTAAACCCACAACCGTAGCATCAGTCTGTAGATGCAGTAAAGCATGCTTGTTATACTCACTGTGGAGCCTAAGGGGTTAATCCTCTGCATTGTGTAAAAAGGCTGATAGATCCTGTCTTGATTGATTCTCCCCTTCTTCTACTGTCCATTTGCTGATAGAACAGTGCCTTGGCGGCAAGCTGCACATGCTCTGTTGGGTGTGTATTGCTAGAGAGTTTTTTTTTTTCTTTGGGAGAGTGCATGTGATCAGCACAGGGCCAATCAGCACTGTCCAGACAGAGGGTCAGGGGTCATGCAGCCTCATAGGACAATCAGATCAGAATGAAAACTCCTCCTACAAGCTTTAATCAGTGCTCAGCTGGACACTGATAGAAGTCACAAGATTGCTCTAACTGCTGATGTGCAAAGATATTTAGCAGTTTATATTTATTAAAATAATTGCATTTCCATGTTGTGTGTACTGTGGGAGACCAGATATAGTGGATGCAGGGTCCGGGAGACCGGATATAGTGAATGCAGGGTCTGGGAGACCGGATATAGTGAATGCAGGGTCCGGGGAGACTGGATATAGGGAATGCAGGGTCCGGGGAGACCAGATATTGTGAATGTGGGGGTCCGGGGAGACCAGATATAGTGAATGCAGGGTCCGGGGAGACCGGATATAGTGAATGCAGGGTCTGGGAGACCGGATATAGTGAATGCAGGGTCCGGGGAGACCAGATATAGTGAATGCAGGGTCCGGGGAGACTGGATATAGTGAATGCAGGGTCCTGGGAGAGCGGATATAGTGAATGCAGGGTCCGGGGAGAGCGGGATATAGTGAATGCAGGGTCCGGGGAGAGCGGATATAGTGAATGCAGGGTCCGGGGAGAGCGGATATAGTGAATGCAGGGTCCGGGGAGAGCGGGATATAGTGAATGCAGGGTCCGGGGAGAGCAGATATAGTGAATGCAGGGTCCGGGGAGACCGGATATAGTGAATGCAGGGTCCGGGGAGACCGGATATAGTGAATGCAGGGTCCGGGGAGACCAGATATGAGTGAATGCAGGGTCCGGGGAGACCGCATATAGTGAATGCAGGGTCCGGGGAGACCGCATATAGTGAATGCAGGGTCCGGGGTTTAGTAATACTTTAACAATCACTTTAAGATATGAAGGTAACTTACATTCATAAGCTATCAATTGCATCTCTGATTCCGCCATGCTATCTGATAATCTGATCGATCAAAAGACAATCCTATTCATGAGCAAAGTATCTCAGTGCAGTTTATTGATGCAAAACAATCAATAATATTCCGCTCTGGCTGTTCGACTTGAGTTTGATCAAATCTGTTTGAAATTGAGTCTCGGTTGATTAGAAAGGAAGTTACGGCTTTTCGATTGATTGCAAATTCAATCGTTTTGATCAAATTGCACAACAACTGGATAAATAAGTCGATGTGTGTGGACACCATTATGCTGGCCCAGGGAGCAGGGGCCTCAATTGACAAGATGATGTTGTAAAGTTTGTGCAGAAGATGGATTATCAAAAGGGGGGCCAATTATAAGTAGTTTGATCAGTAGCATTGAGTGTAGCAAAAAGAGTGCTCTATCCATTGTTGGGTGTCAGTAGCTAAGGCTTGGATGAATGGCCTCCATTCAGCAGATTTTTCCCTATTTCTATATATCTGTTAGCAGTTGCAGACTGGCAGTTGATAGCGGAAGTACATAGACAAGAATGCATTCCTTGTTCCGCGGCGTGTAACGCACCTGAAATATTTTTCTTTTTTTGTTTGCTAGGTTTCCCCAGGACTGTGACGCAGGCAGAAGCATTGGATAAGATCTGCGACCTGGACTTAGTAATAACATTAAATATCCCTTTCGAGACGCTGAAAGATCGCCTGAACACGCGGTGGATCCACCTACCCAGCAGACGAGTCTATAACATGGAATTCAATCCTCCAAATGTGACCGTAAGGACCTAAAGTAACACTTTCTGTTCCTTTATCATGGATAGAATTGGAATATGTCCAGCAGGGCAGAGGGCGATGAACGTTTAAAATGAACCTCAGAAAGAACTATTTTACCAAAGGAGTAGTGCGTGCTTGGAGCAGAGTCCCAGCAGAGGTGGTGAGCTAGTTAACCCATTTAACAAGGTCTTGACCCCCAGACCAGTTCTGGCGTTTCTGTCATACGTGCAAAAATCTGCATTTTTTTTGCTAAAAAATTACTTATAACCCCCCAAACAATATATATGTATTAAATATATATATATATATGTATTATTTGTATATATATGTAATATATTTTATTTATATATATATATATATATATATATATACAGTGGGGATCGAAAGTTTGGGCACCCCAGCTAAAAATTTGTATTAATGTGCATAAAGAAGCCAAGGAAAGATGGAAAAATCTCCAAAAGGCATCAAATTACAGATTAGACATTCTTATAATATCTCAACAAAAGTTAGATTTTATTTCCATCATTTACACTTTCAAAATAACAGAAAACAACAAAATGGCATCTGCAAAAAGTTTGGGCACCCTGCAGAGTTAATATCTTGTACTGCCCCCTTTGGCAAGTATCACAGCTTGTAAACGCTTTTTGTAGTCAGCCAAGAGTCTTGTTTGAGGTATCTTTGCCCATTCTTCCTTACAAAAGTCTTCCAGTTCTTTGAGATTTCTGGCCTGTCTGTCACGCACTGCTCTTTTAAGGTCTATCCATAGATTTTCAATTATGTTGAGGTCAGGAGATTGTGAAGGCCATGGCAAAACCTTCAGTTTACACCTCTTGACGTAATCCCCCGTGGATTTCGAGGTGTGTTTAGGATCATTATCCATTTGTAGAAGCCATCCTCTCTTTAACTTCAGCTTTTTCACAGATGGCATCAAGTTACCATCCAAAATTTGCTGAAATTTTATTGAATCCATTTTTCCTTCTACTCGTGAGATGTTCCCTGTGCCACTGGCTGCAACACAACCCCAAAGCATGATTGATCCAACCTCATGCTTAACAGTTGGACAGAGGTTCTTTTCATTAAATTCTGTGCCCCTTCTTCTCCAAACGTACCTTTGCTCATTCCGGCCAAAAGTTCAATTTTAACCTCATCGGTCCACAGAACTTGTTTCCAAAATGCATCAGGCTTGTCTATATGTTCATTTGCAAAGTTCAAACGATGATTTTTGTGGTGAGGACGTAGAAGAGGTTTTCTTCTGATGACTCCTCCATGAAGACCATATTTGTACAAGTATCTCTTTATAGTGGAATAGTGTACCACAACTCCAGTGTCTGCCAGATCTTTCTGGAGGGATCGTGCAGTCAAACATGGGTTTTGAATTGTTTTTTCACAATCGTGCGAGTTGTTCTGTCTGATATTTTTCTTGGTCTTCCAGATGTTGCTTTAACTTCCACTGTTCCTGATGACTGCCATTTCTTAATTACATTCCGAACAGAGGATATTGACATCTGAAAACGCTTTGCTATCTTCCTATAGCCTTCTCCAGCTTTGTGAGCGTCAACTATTTTCAGTTTCAGTTTTCTAGACAACTGCTTAGAAGAACCCATGGTGCTGATTGTTGGGGCAAGGTCAGATGAGTCTGGGCATTTAAAACCTTTGAGATTGACATCACCTGGTCTTCCCAGACAATGATTGAGAACAATCCATGACACTGGCAGGTCTCAGCTTGGCAAAGGGGGCAGCGCATGCTATAAATTCTGCAGGGTGCCCAAACATTTGCAGACACCATTTTTTTGTTTTCTGTTATTTTGAAAGTGTAAATGATGGAAATAAAATCTAACTATGTTGAGATATTATAAGAATGTCTAATCTGTAATTTGAAGCCTTTTGGAGATTTTTCCATCTTTCCTTGGCTTCTTTATGCACATTAATACAAATTTTTAGCTGGGGTGCCCAAACTTTCGATCCCCACTGTATATATATATATATATATATATATATATATATGTGTGTGTGTGTATGTATATATATATATATATATATATATATATACATAATTTTTTTTTTTCTTTTAAGCAGAGACCCTGGAGAATAAAATGGCGTGTGTGGCCGTTTTTTTCTTTGGCACACGATATTTGCACAGCGTTTTTTTTTTTTTTTTTTTTTAACACACATTGTTTTGGAAAAAATACACTTTAATGAGTTGTTGTGAACACAAAAACAATATAATACCCAATTTTTTGGTAAAATATAAAAAAACGATGCTACACCGAGTAAACAGATGTCAAACGTGTCATGCTTTAAAATTGTACTGACAAAGTATGGCACTTCACAATCTCCACAGACAACGCTTTTAAAAGCTTTTTACAGGTTACCAGTTTAGAGCTCCGCAGGAGGTCTGGTGCTAGAATTATTGCTCTCTCTCTGACATTTGTGCTGATACCTCACACAGGGGCGGACTGACCATTTGGAAACTCGGGCACTGCCCGAGGGCCTGGGGTCAGTAGGGGGGGCCCCATGAGATGCCCCTGGTACCTTTTTCATAGGCTTTTTTGAGTTTGGGTAAGGACACAGGGGCCCCATGATCCCCTATTGCCCGGGGGCCCCATGAGTTGTCAGTCCGCCCCTGACCTCACATGTGTGGTGCAATCGTATACTTATGCATGCAGGACCTAAGTGAGAGTATGCCTTTGCATGTGAGCATGGGGGGGGGGGGGACACTTTAAATGTTTAAAACATTATTCGTTATTTAGATTTTTTTTTTATTTTTACAATCTCTCTTTAATTTCGTGTTTGAGCAACTTTATTGCTATCACAAGGGATGAACAACATCCCTTGTGATATTATGGGCCTTGACAGGTCCTCTTTATGGAGAGTCAGTTAAACCCGATATCCCCACATGGAAGAAAAATGTATTTGATATATATTTTAAAAATATTTTTCCCAAATATATTGAAATATATGTGAAATACTACAATTTTGGCCATATGCAATATATATAAAAAAAAAAATAAATATATATATACTTACTGCATGCTGAAATGCGTTTTTTTTATATATTACAATATATATGAAAAATATATACCGGTATATATTTTAAAATATGTTCTTTAGATTTTTTTAACATATAAAAAACAAATTTTAACATATATTTTTACATATATTTGTAAATGCATTCCAAAAATGTAGATTAAATGTATTTTTAAAAACATACAGTATATTTGAAAATGTACTTTTAAAAATATTTTTCATATATTTTGTATATAAAGATACATTTCAACATACAGTATATATATATATATATATATATATATATATATATATATATTTTTTTTTTTTTTTTTTTTAATATATTGAATACGGCCAAAATTGTGGTATTTCAAATATATGTCAATGTATTTGGGAAGAATATTTTTTAAATACATTTAAAAGATATCATTCTTCCATGTGGGTCTCTCCTCTGGCCTCCGGTAATGGCTTGTTTAGAACAAATTGGAAGTGTCAAAATCCTCATCACATTTGATTTCTGATATAGGTGTAAGCAAACATTTATTTTTTTTTAGTTCATTCTGGGAATTAAATTGTCACACCTCGCACATCTTTCTAACAAAGCAGAGGTGTTAGGATGGGGGAGGGGCATTTTTAAAAGTAGTTAGGTTGAGGCTGGAATCTACTTCTGCGTGCGATTCAACCTACATATGGAAAAGCCTTTGAAAGAATTTTCTGATGCTACTCGTCCTTTTCCCTGCCTGTCCGTATTTCTATATGCCAAGCCGAGTATGTGCAGCGCAGCGTACATTTAGCCCAGGTTCACACTGTGCAGTGGGGGACGCCGCATGTAATTCGCACAGGAATCGCACCGCATCTGTGTGCTGTGTGATCTGAGCCATACATTTTGTATGACTCAAATCGCATTCTCACCAAAAAGGTGCATTACCCTTTTTTAAATCCGCACCTGAATTGCATCTCATGGGTGTTCTCACTCATGCGATCCGATTTCTGGCGTTTTGCAATCTGTTCCGCTGTGTCATTGATTTATCATTGACACCCACACCAGACCGCATGAACGCGATTGCCAGAAATTGCACAGGATTCGCAGCGTTTCATTGGTGTGAACTCAAGCTTACGGCAAGGCTCTGCGCTGAGACGACTTAACTGTTCGCATCTCAGGCCCGGCCAATCAACCAAAGAGAAGACCGCCCACCGGAAAATGGAAGAGGCTGCGATGGGCAGGAGCGATGACGCTGCGACGCTGGAGGGATTGCTTGCACGGTAAGTCTGCTATAATGATCTAATATGCTGTGAAAACTATTCAATTATGGCTAAATGCTCTCTTTTTATTTTTTTTGGTTATTTTCTGACATTTACCCCCAGTTCACATATATGTGTCTGTGTGGGACGCATTTTGCGCGGGAGAGTCCATTCATTTGAATGGAATCCCGTGCCCCATGACACGCAGGAAAGAAGTCCCTTCTTCTGAAAAACGCACCCCTCATGGGAACCTCGGTTCTCAGTACGGTTGCGTTTTCCAGCGCGACAGGCGTGCCATTAGAAGTAATGGCACCCGCCTGCGGGTCCGCATTCCTCTGTGCGTGTGGTGCTGATCCGCAGCGGCACCACCCGCACATATGTGAACCTAGCCTCCAGCAGGCCATACATGGGTTGAATTGCAAATGATTTTTTGATCGAAAATCGAAAACATCGTTTGTTCTGTAATCAGATGGTGCCACCAATGATTTTGAAAATCGGTCATTTTTCATGAATTTTCCAGCATGCCCGATAAACAAAATGGGGAGGAACCACGAAAATCGACCGGTGCCATTGCCCCACTAGCAGAGCGAAAATAGGCCGATTATTCTTAGGTCTGATTTTCGAACTAAAAAATTGTTTGGAAATCGACCCATGTATGGCCGGCCTTTCACTTTACCAGACCAAAAGGGAGCCAATAGGAGAATTTCATGGTGTGCATACACTTTAATGATTTCATGTCTGCAGCGCCATCTGTA